CCCTTCTTCAGAATTTCTGAAGAAGGGTCTAGGCCCGAAACGTCAGCTTTCCTGCTCCTATGATGCTGCTTGGCCTGCTGTGTTCATCCAGCTCTGCACCTTGTTGTCTCAGATTCTCCAGCATCTGCAGTTCCTACTATCTCTCATGAAATTTATTGCCTGTTTTGTGAAGCAACTCCAGTTATACTCAGCTGAACTCAAGGACCAGAGAATGTAAAATTATGCAGGCCTTCCAGCATCTAGAATGCATCCTGCTGCACTCCCAACCCAAAGACCAATTGTACCATACTTGATCACACCATAAAATGAGGAAAAGGTTTGTGTTTTCTAGAAGATAAAGAGTTTTTATTTGACTTTCAGACTTCATCTTCCATTAATCTGTGCTTGAAGGACAACCAACAAAACAGTTCAACTGGAGAGAGAAACAAATTCAGTACAAAGGACAAGATGCTGAAAATTCAGCAATGATGCCTAGCTGACCATTCAAGCTGGTCATCAATTGTGCCAGCCGGAAGTCACCTCTTTTGACTGATTTCACCAAGTTAGGACTAATTCCAAAAGGGCTCATTCAGGTTATTTAAGTTACTTCCTACAAGACAAAGGAGTAAAGTTTTAGCAATATTTTGTTCGTGTTTTATTAAAAAAAACTGAATAAATGTGTCAAGCATGTGTTTTTACTGCAATTAAAGCAACTGATTAACCAAAATTGTTGTGGTGTGAAGAACAGGGTGAGAGCAGGGAGAGCGTATGTCAGTAATGAAATGGTCCACCTACCCTCGGTATTAATGTTATTATGTCATTAGATAAACTGAATTGTCTAAATACTATCATAAATTAATTGAAAACTTTAAAAAGACAATAGTCTGTTCATGATTCTATGAATAAAAGAAAATGGTATGTTATTTAATATTCAGCTATACCTAGTTAAATTTAAAGCCAAATCTTCAATTTCCTGAAGGAGACATATAACTAAATAGCAAGCATAGTGCCCAAGATACCTTCCAGAAAAGAGCCTCAGTATTTTGCCCAGATCTGCACTGAATTATTTGTGTATATAAAGTAGCCGAAAAGTTAGAAAATTCAGATGAAAGATACTGCAGGAAGAAAAACTATAATTTCTTTCTTGCAGAGAAGTTACAAACTTGATTCTCCATAACACAACGCCATGTGGTTCAATTTAATAAAAGGCTTATAAATTTATAAATCAGGTCAAAGATTCGTTTAATTTCCCATGTTTTTCATTTAATAGCTTCTGACTGCCTCAAAAGCTAGAAAATAAAAGTACTGAACTCCACTGAAAATTCTCCCAAACCTTTCAAATCAGATAAGAATCTTGTTTAATGAAAATAAAATCTCCATTAGCACACTTCTAATAGCACATCAAAATAATATAAAAATTCTGCAAGTCCTAAAATGCACACCCACAAAATCCTCCCATCCCATCAAATGATATCAGACCTTGTTCTTTGCCAAAAATCACTCAATTCCACGATTATTATGGAAAGCAAGAATAGCTCTGGCTTCTTTTCTGTACTGCCAAACGTCCCGTTTTAAATCCTTTTTGCCTTTTCTTGCCTGTCTTGACCTATAGTAAGCGCCAGAAGCTTACGGACTCCTTTATCACTAACATCTAAACCAATATTTCAATGCTTTGTTCGCAAATTACTTCATCATCTAGTCCATCCAGCTAAACTCTTCCTGAGCTAGCTCTCAACCACTCTAGCTTCCAACACACCCCCCATCTCCTCTCATTCATTCTGTGAATTCATTCTGTCTTTGAGAGCCACATCCTGCTGCCATGACCTTGTTCCAACAAAATTGCTAACCACCTTCCTTCCTTGCAATTTCTGCCAGTTAAGAGGCACAAAAATCACAACTACTACCAACAAAGGTGGAGCTGGAAAAGCACACAAGTCAGACAGCTTCCGAGGAGCAGGAAAGTCAAAGTTTCAGGCTGAAATCCTTCATCAGGGCTGGGTAGGGGAAGGGGAGCCCAGAAATAAATACAGGGAGGGGAGGCTTGGTGGGATGGAGATAGGTGGATGCAGGTAGAGGGTTATTGTGGTTGGTCAGTGAGAAGGGTGGAATGGATAGGTGATGGACAGGTTGGGGGGTGGAAAAAGACTTGAAGCTGGTGAAGTCTCCCAAGGCAAAATACCAGGTGCTGTTCCTCCAGTTTACGTTTGGCCTTGCTCTGACAGTGCAGGAGGCCAAGGATGGATATGTCACCAGGGGAGTGGGAGGGGGAGTTAAAGTGGACATTAACAGGAAGGGCAGGTTGGTTGGTGCGTGCAGAGCGCAGGTACTCCATGAACTGGTCCCTGATATAGAGGAGACCACATCAGGAGCAACGGATACAGAAGTGCAGATGAATCTCTGCCAGATTTGGAAGGATTGTTCACGACGTTGGATGGAGGTGAGAGAGGAGGTGTAGGGCTGTCTCTCTCCTAAACCATTCCTCATAACTACTGCCCCCAGCCCCACTATAAATCACATACCTTCACCAATGATGCCATCATACTCTCTGCCATAGTCTGACGTTGAGTCTGAATCCAGAATAATGGATTACGATCTGATACTGAGCAAAATTTCTGATATCGTTCTCTCATCACAAAGGCTACTTATTTCCAACCTAACTCAAACCTCAGCCTAATGACAACTGAAAATATAGCTCAAGCCTTCATTGCCTCTATTTTCATATGCTCCTATTTTCTACAAACTAAGCTGATGCAGAACATCAGCACTTCATTCAGAGATAGCAAGAACTGCAGATGCTGGAGTCAGAGACAACACAGTATGGAGCTGGGGGAACGCAACAGGCCAGGCAGCAGAGGAGCAGGAAAGTTGTCGTTTTGGGTCAGGACCCTTCTTCAGAAAAAGATCCTTCTGAAGAAGGGTCCTGACCCAAAATGTCAACTTTCCTGCTCCTCTGATGCTGCCTGGCCTCCTGTGTTCGTCCAGTTCCATACTGTGATGTATCAGCACTTCATTGCCTGTCGTCTGCTTATCTAGTGATACGTCTTTAAACCTACAATTCTCCAAGAACCATTATTCCTCCAAGCAGCCTGGTCAACCGCCCTGCTCCCTCACCCTTTCAATCTTCAGCATTCTTGACTGTAAGTTCTGGAATTCACTGTCAAAACTTTTCCACCTCTCACCTCTTTAAAATTTGAGATTTTTTCTATTACATAATGAGATGTTGTGTAAATGCAATTGTTGTTTTAATAAAATACTCAATTACTTACAGTTTCACTTCTGTTTGAAGGCTCTTCAAAGTCTTTCACACCCATTATTCCCTTAAGGCAGAAAGCCTTACAGCCCACAAAACCCATTTGGCAGTCAAAGAAAAGTTCTCCCATCATCAGCACCTTAAAAACAAACAGTAGGTATTATTATAGCTAATTTGCATACAAATGTGAAAATGCTTAGCATCCTCCTATAAAAGACCATCAGCAACAGTGTAAATCTTTAAAATAATTGTTTGTTTTAAATTTGAAGAGTGGAAGAAAAATGCAAATGTAGAGGTCAACAGAAATCACAACGGCTTGCTGTAATGTGTAAACAAATGCAAGTCGGTATTTCACATTATAACTTAGGAATTGCCCTGAAAGTAATTATTTCTCAATGCAGTAACAAATTCATGGACATTTCACAAATAATTTGGGTGGCATGGTAGCACAGTGGTTAGCAGTGCTGCCTCACAGAGTCAAGAACCCTGGTTGAATTCCAGCTTTCAGTGACCGTGTGTGTGAAGTATGCACATTCTCCCCATACCTGCAAGAGTTTCTGCCAGGTGCTTCAGTTTCCTCCTACAGTGCAGGTTAGGTAGATTGGCCATGCTAAATTACCCTGTCGTGTCCAGGGATGTGCAGGCTAGGAGGATTAATCATGGTAAATGCAGGATTGTGGGGGTGAGGGTGGATACTCTTTGGAGGATAGGTGCAGGCTCAATGAACCTGATAGAATCTCAAAGTGTATATAGAGGCTATGATTCTCTCCCTCATAATTTCCACTGTTCTCCCTTTAACGGAAGATCAGAAAATAAAAGTTAACTAATTGCAAAAAAAACCTGCTTATAAATTATATCCGTGACAGATTTTTAGTATCAGATTCCAGGTTACCAAACAGTGAGGGATGTTGTGAACTGACAGAACAAATTGCTTATCATTTTTGAAAATAGTTTCTTGAAAATTTGTCCTATAATGTGAACAGCTGGTAGTTCATCAAATCAATGCCAAAGTAGTAAATTTATGGCCAAGTCTATTCTCAAACTACCATGATGGTGTAAACAAATCTGCAGCTTTCTTACACTCTGGCAGCAAGCAAAAGGTGAGGGATAGTCCCAATTTGTGCAGATAAACTGGAAAGCTATGATTTTGTAAAAGTGTTTCAAAGAGGAGCTAAAAAATTCACATCCAGACACAGGTAAAGTCTGTTTTTTCCCCAGATTTTTCTGAAGTGTTTTTGCTGAAGGATTTTGCAGAATGCTGATTAAGAAAGCAGGCTGAAATACAACTTTATTTAAGTGGTGCTAATTTTCAACCATGTGATTCTGTTTTATTAGTTACTCCTTTTCTAATGTTGAACAGCACAATTACTAAACTGTACGCTGTATAATCCAGAACAAGCACAACACTCAACAAGGTTCAATTTATACACTGTAACTCATTGCAAAGAGAACTGATTATATTTTTCACAATACAAACACATAATTATACAGAGAATGGCTGTAGTTTCATTTGCAAACTCTGCTCTATTTAGGAATTTGATCTCCTGCACAACTTTGAGCTATGTGAATTTAGATCTTGTTTTAAAGGCAGATTTCTACCATAATATCTCAATGTGTAATGGAAATCAGCTGTTAGATACAGTAATAATGTAAAGTCTTGGCCATTTCTCACACATAATACTGCCGATTGAGATCAGCATGCGTACCTTTACCAGAAACAATAGATTTTACTTGGCACATGTTTGTTTTCATGAAGAGATCCCTACATATTTGTCAGTTCATAAAATGGAAGTGCTTCTACAAACTGTCAAGATAATGGTTTCAATTCAAGGTAAATAGCATTCTCATATATGCAACAGAAAACTCTAACCAAAGTGAACACATTTTAGGATGTTTATCCAATATGCTTATTAACAACAATGAATTAATAGATCACTGAGAAGAGGTCTTCACATGAAATTTTATTATCATTCTGGACAATGAATTGAGAAGTACCTCAACAGTCGTCCCTTCTTGCTCCCAGCAAAGCACTTCTTTGGATTTCACTTTCTGAGGGCTGTAATAGCTGCTCTCCGTTTGCATTTCTGTCAACTGTAACAACATGACAATACCTCCATTCAAATATGTTACATTTTATCAATAAGTAGTCATAACCTGTCATCCCAATACACAAAATTGCTGCAGACAAATTAATCTTTTTTTGTTTCAACTAAATACAGCTATTACACAGGAAACAGGTGGAGTAAAACAGCTGCAACATATTATCCACATCAGGATATAAGGCTCACTGTTGACTATGGCTTAATCACAATGAGATAATGACATGTATTTTGAACATAAGGTTAATGTTAAACTTCTCATGTTAACAATTTCTTTGCATCTGCTAGTCAAATACCTTCATCATTGTCAAACCTATATCTATATTTTTACTGAATAATTATGCAACTGATGTGAAAATTAGGAAAAATCACGCGCACCAGTGATTCATATACAAAATCTTCTTAAAAATGACTTCAGAGGATATTAATATTTAAAATATTTCAACAATCATATCTCAGAACCAATGGCATCCAGCAACAAAATACCATCATAATCAATCAGTAAGAAATTTTCGAAGCTGTCAGATTGAATTCAGATTCCAAACCATTACCAACGGTTAACTTACCCTTGGCAATTATCTCAATTACACTGTCATGATTGTAAGCAATATTCATTCCTACAGTATGGAAATACCCACAGCTCTCATTACAAATCCATTTGAACTACTCCTGTTGTGTAACTCATGTTACACATGTTGGCTTTTCATAGCTATGTTAATATGCCTAAGGTAAAGAGTTGTGCATAACCTGTACCCTTTATTACCTAACCAGCTTCATCTGTCAGCAATTACTCCAGAGGAAAAGCAATTAATTGATTAAAGGAATTCAAAATCTAGAAGAACAATTTCTAGCATTATTCAATCAACAATAGGATTAATTTAGCATCATGTTATACTGGAATGGTCTCGGCTACATACAATAACACTGCAGGAACGTGACTCTATCTCTGACCCAAGTTAAGTGTAAATGAATTGTGAACATTTTTACTCAGCGAATAGAACAATTTTAAATAATATTTCTAGAAATTGGCGTGATTATACAAGACTCGGTAATCATACATAGTGAATATTATATAATTACAGCTGGAATCCTTTAACATGTTAAATGAAAACAGAACAAAATGCCAAGATAAATTTAAAAATGTATTTGAGAAGTCCTGAAATTTGTTCTCAATAAAATATTATATTTCAATTTAGCTAAATTAAGTTAAAAACTTAATCCATTCCAAATAGTTGCAGTTTATATTAATGCATTATTTTTAAGCAGCTACCCCTGAAGCTACTGTTTTAGGTTTCTTTACTCACATGGCATTTTTGTAAATTAAATAATTAACACTGTAATTCTATGCTACTTTCATCTGGAAAGACCAGGTTAAAAACTCCTACCACTTTAACCTCATATTGAAACACTTGTTAGAAGCCGACATTGTTGAAAAAAGTACACTTTTTAGATACAAACAAGCTGAGCAGTTTATACTAAGTCCAGGAACTAAAAGAATCAAAGTTAAAAATAAGTTTAAAAAAAAGACGAAGGAAAATTATTTCATTAAAAAAAAAGCTGAACCCAACAGATATATAGACTGAACGATCAATGGATTAATTTAGCAATGCACCTAATCACCTTCTTTAACCCAATTATTTTACCCTATTTTTAAAATTAGCCTGTTCAGAGATGTTATTACACACCTCTGGAGAGGTGAGACTTGAATTTGGGCCTCGCGGTAACAGGGACACTACTACTGCGCCACAAGAATTAATTTAATCCCACAAATATGAAATAAAAATACTGTCTTCAAACAGTATTTGACAAAAAAATTTTACAATGAATTCATTTTCATTTGTTGTACTTTATTTAGTTTAACTCCTGATTTAGATTTACACTCTTTACCAGAAGACTTCGACCAATGGTTCTATTAATCTTCAATGTTCACTCCCAAAAATCTACATCCGTGGGCGGTAGGAGACAGAGGATGATGACTGAGGCCTCCAGTCTGGACAATATTGCAAGGATCAATGCTAGGTCCACTCTTCTTCATCATTTACATAAATGATTCAGATGAAAATAAAGGAGGTATAGTTAGTAAGTTTGTGGATGACACCAAAATTGGTGGTATAGAGAACCTTCGGTTATCTAAGAGTACAATGGAATCTTGATCAACTGAGCCAGTGGGCTGAGGAACGGCAGATGGAGTTAAATTTAGATAAATGCGAGGTGTTTCATTTTGGTTAGGCAAACCACAGCAGGACTTACACAGTCCTGTAGGGCCCTGGGTAGTGTTGTCAAACAGAGAGACCTAGGGGTGCAGGTACACAGCTCCTTCAAAGTGGCGTCAGAGGAAGACAGGGTGGTGAAGAATGCGTTTAATACACTTGTCTTCATCGGTTACAGCACTGAGTACAGGAGTTGGGATGACATGTTACAACTTGACAAGGCATTGGTAAGGCCACATTTCGAGTACAGCATACAATTCTGGTCACCCTGATATAGGAAAGATTTTATTAAACTGAAAAGGGTGCAAAAATGATTTACAAGCATATTATCAACACTGGAAGGTTTGTGTTGTAAGAAGAAGCTGGATAGTCTGTGACTTTTTTCCCTGGAACGTAGGAATCTGAGGCGTGACCTTTTAGAGGTTTATAAAATCATGAGGGACATAGGTAAGGTTAATAGCCTTACCTTTTCCCCAGGGTAGGGGAGTGCAAAACTAAAGGGCTTAGATTTGAGGTGCGAGAGGAAAGATTAAAAGGGACCTTAGGGTCAACTTTTTCACACAGAGGGTGATGCGTATGTGGAACAAGGTGCCAGAGGAAGAGGTAGAGGCAGATACAATTACAACATTTAAAACACATTTGGTCAGGTACATGGATAACAAATGTTTAGTGGGGCCAAACACAGGCAAATAGGACTAGTTCGGTTTAGGAAACCTGGTTGGTAAGGACGATTGGGCCGAAGTGCCTGTTTCCGAGCTGTATGACCCTACGCCTATGCACTTCGTGTTTGTGAACTCTCCAAATATATCATTTCTCAAAGGCAACATCAGTATCGCCACTCTTTAAAGTTTCAGAGATGCTGCTTGCATTTTCGTTTGTTGAAATATTAAATATTTATGCCATAGCACTACAGATGATCTTCCTTCTTGAGCCAAAATAAAAGATTTCTTGGTTATCCAACTCAAGGGTTATTATTTCTGATGTTTTCAAATGTTATTATTGAAATTAGTCCACAGAGGCCAGTATTCCATCACCACATCACCCTTTATTTACACATGAACAATCCTTGACTTTAGTACTGCCTCTTCTGAATCAGCTATCAAAGTGGCAGTATCTCTGACACTCGCCTTTTTATCTGTCAGCCAGGGCTACCTGATTGGGGCTATTAATCTAGTCCAATTAGGGAACTCATATTCTACGAGTTCCAGCTGGTTGACCTCAGTACAATCACTACCTCCCTCCTGTTCTGAGTCCAAGGACGTAGGCTGGTCCTTTTTCTTGGAGAATCTCCTGGGGTATTTTAGCATTGGGTCAAGTTCCTCCACCTGCTGTTTGATATGGGCAGTGTATAATGCACTGGAGCTTGCCTCTTGCGCCAGGAGCGCCTTGGTAGAATTTCATCCTCTCTTCCAGCAGCAAGAAAAATTCAAAGGCATCGAGACAGCTACATCCATCACATCTATCTCTAATTCCAAGAACGCATCAACATTTCAGAGAGGGTGAACTCACGGGTTCCAGCAGATTTTCAAACTATTCCGAGAAGCAGGGCATGTTTTGCTCCTGCACCGTTTGCAAATTCGCAGCCTTCATATGGTCTACGTGCTTGTTCAGGATCGTCACACCTACTTAAACTTTTGATGTCACTGGTCCTGACCTCACATCGACCATACCTCTTACTCATGCAGGGCCATTTCATAGTTTCTTACACCATATTTTTCCCTCTGTATCAAACTGTCTCTCTCATTTGGTGAAGTTTTGTATCCATCATTGACCTTCCTCATGCCATTTCACAACACTCTGCCAAGTAAGAGAAACAGTTTGATATAGGAGACAAAGTTTGGTGTAAGAATCATGGAAATTGCCCCACATGGGAGGGAGGTATGGTTGCCCAGTCAGGACCAGTGATGTATAAAGTTCAGGTAGGGGCAATGTTCCTAAATAAACACATGGACCACATGAAAGCCGCAAAATGGCTCCTAATAAAAGAAAAGGCTGCAGCTCCACAAGCTGTCAGGAGACTTGCTTGTTGCTTTTCCTGTGCCACAATGTTGTTTGCCATAAAAGAAAAACACATTCTTTCCGCATACTGAGCCTCAACGACAATGGCAAGGGCAAATGACTTAAGTTTCACAAACAAAGATATGACGTAAGAAATGCTTACCCCAACTCAAAAATGACTGTTGTGAGCTAGTTTCTTCAGGAAAATGCTTTAATTTCGTCATCACTAAGTAACTCCATATGGGCTGGCATCCAGTCACCAAGTCACCCTTTACTTACACATGAACAGTCCTTGACCCTAGTTCTGCCTCATTCTAAGTCAGCTATCAGAGTCTCAGTATCTCTGACACTTACCTTCTTATCTGCTGGCTAGGGCTCCTTGATTGGACCAGATTAACAATCCCAATCAGGGAACTCATTCTATGAGATAGTAGGAACTGAAGGAGGGCCTAGGCCCGAAACATCAGCCCTCCTGCTCCTGTGATGCTGCTTGGCCTGCTGTGTTCATCCAGCTCTACACTTTGTTATCTCACTCATTCTATGAGGTCCAGTTGACTGATCTCATTACAATCACTACAATTATTTTGTTGCTGTTTCCATGAAAACAATATTCAGTGGAGCAGGTAGGTGACTATAAGGTGACAATTATACTATATTATTTGCAAAACACACAGGAGTTTCTTCTTTCCATGTTTTTGCCCCATAATATTCACATACCTGTAATCAACTTCAATACCATACGCTGAATCTAATTCTATATTCCTTCCCAAAAGGACATCTGCCA